TGTGTGTGTGCGTGTGTGTGATTGAGGTCTAAAAGACACGGTAGAGATAAAAAATACCTACATTTTCAATCAATCAGTTATTTGAAAAAGACAGTGGATTCACTAGTATTACATGCACACCTATGCTCACACACACACAGTTCCTAAATTGATGTCTACACACAGCATTGCTTCTAATGAAGTCTCATTCACTCTGACTGCTGCCATATGGTTACTGTACACTCACTGAACCACATCTGCTGTGTGTTAGTGCACACACACACATCTCTCCAGTGCACCCATACTTCAGACTTGTGTGGCCAATATAAGGTATACTCACCCACCCACCCACACACACACACACACACTTGCATGCATACAGTAGCATTTAACTCACCATCTGTTCGTTGAGGTCCTGTGAGGCCTCCATGGCTTCTTGGGTTGTGTGATCCACCACACACTTGAGGGACAAAAATTAGAAAATAAAACATGGGTCAATGGATCGAAAAAGGAAAAGTCACCCTTTTCAATTCACCCGTTCACAGTTTTAATGGAAAGACATCACCTGTGCTAACACTGTTTTTTTCCAGGAATGTTGCCTGGACACTTGCGTGGGGGGATTAATTGATAGCTAAATGTAATCGCTTACACTCACACTGAGGATAAAACCACCAACCATATTGTATACATTTCTTTTTTTTTCATGTCTACGTGTATCTGTCGGTTAGACCTTCTGTCAGTGTGTTTATGTGTGAGCAACAGGAGACTGAAGGAGGGAAGCAGCAGCGTTAACTTCAGCATATCATCTTCAGCCGAGGGTGAAGTGGAGAGATAATTGCAGAAGTAAATATCAACAATGAAAATGGAGAAGTGTAAATGATACGACTGCTTGGCTGGCTCTGGACCACAGACACAGTGGCTGGCTACCACACGAAGACAGTGAGTGACCCTATTAATACTAGACAGGAGACAGGTTGGCGCAAGAGTCTGGAGCGATGGAGAGGCCGAGGTGATTGTCTACAACTTAAGTGAGATTAAATGTTGCGATCAGAAAAACAAAGACAGAAATTACAGTCTGTCCTTCCTTTTTTTGCCACTGTCACGCAGAGGGTGACGCTGCAACAAAAGGCCAGCTGAAAGAATAGGATAACAATGCCGGGATCCCAGCAGAATGGCACAAAATGGCTCCTCTCTGCTATATTGTGCAAAGGCCATCAGAAAAAAGTTTGACACGTGGACAAAGGGGTAGGCGGCAAAGACACGCACTCACATGCAAACACAAAAGTCCTTCCTTGTTATTAGATCTGTGGTTCCCAGGAAGTGTGCTAAGGAGAGCCACTGAATCATTTCCAACAAATTTTCCCCATGAAAAAAAATAGCAGTATCACAATTTGAATGCATTTGCTCTATTTCACTTCAGTAAATAAAAAATTTTCTGCACCTGCACTTTGAGCCAAGAGTGAGCTGCAACTCCTTTCTGTACATCAATGCTTTGTGTTATACAGCTGACAGGGTTCATATCAGAGTATATGTGAGTACCTGAACGGTGCATGTCTAATATTTAAGAGATAAGGCAACTGTTTATTCTTCCACAAAGTATTTTATTTGGACGCCACCTTCATCTAAAATTAGTCCCGAAACATAGATTCCTAACAAGAACATTAAATTAGAGCAACACAAGACTTCTTTTTCTGTTTGTTCAGTGTGTGCCTGAGTGTGCGTGCACGCTCACGCACTGTG